AGGAGCAAACGGTGGGGGGGGCGGGGAGAGGTGTGCAACAATGAATTAATGGAATTCCAAAATCTCTGTAGATGTTCATTGAAATGAAAAATAAATTTAAAAAAAAAAAGGTGTATATCTAACGTTCTTGGTCCTATCCAGGCAACACCAGTGATTTCTTCTCATGGGCTGTGAGGATGTGGACAGCTCCCCAAGAGGGCACCCTCACTCTCCTCTGACTCTCATCACTCTCACCACCTCCATCACTGAGCCAGGCATTTTTTTCAGCAAGGAATCTGGCACATCTGTCACCTGCTTGACTTTTGCATTAGCCAGAAGTGCTCACCCAGAGGACAGCTGGGAGGAGCGTGGGGCGGGCAAGGGGGCTCCAGGTTCCCAAGGGGTCTGGGTCCTCAGGAACACACTGCTTGGGCTATGGCCAGGAGACAGGGTCTCATTTTGCAGCTGGGCGTCAGTGGCCGTGAGCATAATGTTCACACCACCACCTAGAAGCAATGTCAGAAAGGAGCACATGTTCAGCTAGGACTCCAAAGTCACCTTGATGTTCTGTGATCCACGGCTGAGCCACAGCTAACTGCATCCTGAGTCCCACCCCTACCACAGGTACCACCCAGTGATCTCCACAGATGCCCTGCTCTCAGCTGGTCCCCTCTGCCTGAGTACTCTGCCCCTGCCTGCTGCGTGTGCTGGCCTCACCCCGAAGCCTTGCATCCACATAACTCCCTCACATCCTCCCATCATCTATTCCGAGTCCCCTTCCTGCCAATCTGCAACAAGGACATTGCTCCTGCATAACTGCCCTCACATCCTGCCAATGTCCACTCCAAGCTCCCCCTGGCCATTCTCCACCAGAAGCCCCACACTCGCGTAGTTGCCAGCACATCCTGTCAGCATCCTCTCAAGTTCTCCCCTCAATACCCCCAGCCCAGCAACCTGAAGTCTCTGTGGCTCCACTCTGACCAGGGACTCAGCACTCAAGACCAGGGGTCACGAACCTTACCCGCAGCCCCACCAGACAGTTCCCAGCCCTGCCAGGGGTCCACTGATGCCCCCCTGGGGCTGTTTCTGTAGCTGACACCAAGGCCCGGGGTCAGGTCAGGCAGAGGCAAGGAGCTGTTGTGGGTGAGGTTCATGTAGCTGTAGAAGCCGGGGATCAGGAACGTGATGTTCTAAGAGAGAATGTGCACGTGTCAGGGCTGAGAGAGACCCTTCAAGGGACAGAAGGAAAGACATGTGAGTGTGTCCTGGACAGGCCACTCCTTAGGCCCTCTGACAGCCTGAAGTGGCACAGACAGGCTAGGGACTAGGGGGTCCCACCATGCCCTGGGACCCAGTGGAGATGATAAGTCCCCATTGGCACCCAGCAGTGAGAACAGCTGCCCACTGCCTGTCCTCAGTATGTGGCACCCCTAACCACAATGAACTCATGGTGATGCCCTCGGCCCATGGAGACATCTGACACTGGGCTGACTGAACGAGGTAAGGAGCTGCGTCTGGTGACATGAAAAGCCCTCAGTCCCGAAGGAAGGAGATGCCTGTTCCCATGGCCACACATACACCGGGATAGTAACTACAGTCAGAAAACAGAGACCTAGGACAGCCAATGATCAACAGGCCATTGTCTGAGACACCAAGCACCACAGACCACAGCACCTAGACCCGTCCGTCCACCGAGTTGATTCAGTCTTCTCAGGGCACCGGCTCAGTGGCCACAGGTCCAGGGCTTCCCTTCTCTTGGGCAGACACTGTACGTGGGAGTAGGGGTCTCGATGACTACCAGTGATCAAGGGGCCAAATGTGGAAGGGGACCCTCCCATCTACCCCAGAAGTGGTGTGGCCATCTCAGCATGGCAAAATCATCGAGCTGGCCCCAATGGATAGCCCGCCTGGCTCCCAGTGTGTGGCTGGAGCCCAGGGCCCACCTTGCCCAGGAGCTCAGCCTTCCCATAGCCGAAGAGCATGAGTGCGAAGTTCTGGTTGATGCCGTAGATGGTGCCATCTGGCAGCAGGGTGACGAGGCCACTGATGGTACAGAACACCCAGATGGAGGCCGTGTAGCCAAGCACGGGCACGGGCGGCCCACCCTCGCCCTCATCAGGGCCAGGTTTGGACTTGAGCTTGAGGCTCAGAGGGAAGGTGGTGCCATCCCTTGCTCTCCCCACAGACCTCTGGATCCTCAGATTCTGCAGGAGAAAAAGGCCATGAATCTCAGAGCCCTGCCCCCAGAAGCAGCAGGCCACATTTCTGAACACCCGTCACAGTGAGACACGCCAGAAATACCCACCTCCCTGCTCTCTTCCTCCACCTTTCCAGTGTGCCTACCTTGGCTGGCAGCCGAGCTACAGAAGCCATGGAGCTCAGGCAGTTTCCACAGGTGAGATGAGCCCAAAGGCTACACAGTGAATAAGCTGGCCAGAACACAGTCCTCACCTCATGTGAAACCAGCTACCTCCCCAGTCACTGAGGCATGACAAGGATTCTCCCCAGTCATCAAGGCTCTCACCCAAGTCAGCATAGCCCTCAGTCCCAATCACGGCCCTCACCTCAGTCAGCACGGCCCTCACTCCAATCACCACAGCCCTCGCTCCAGTCAGCACAGCCCTCGCTCCAGTCAGCACA